AGCAGAGTTCCTGCGTGCTTCCAAGGTCCCCAGTGCACGTATGTGCTCCAGGGTCGCAGAGGTGGCCAGACCCTTGTTCTCAGTGTCTTGTGTGTAGTCCTGCTCAGGCTTGTCTTACGCCTGTTAACCAGAGTGAGGAATTCCCCAGCAGGGAACTTCATGGCTGGACACCAAGCAGGGACATGTTGGGCACACAGAAGCCGCACTGCAGCCGCTTATTGTGGGAGAGCTGCCCCCCAAATATCTCCAGAATTAACTTTCAGCTCCTGTGTCTTTTTCACCAAAACACTGTGTGAGACCAGCAGGACAGGATCGCAGGCATCTGTGTGTGTGGGCTCTGCGCGGGTCAAGGGGCTCGTTTCTCCTGGAGTTGGATGAAGTGTCCTAACCGAAGGTGTGGTGGGGACAGGGCTGTGCTGTGCTCTGGGGAGGAGCAGAACTGGCGAAGCTTTCATGACATGCCAGCTCCCAGGGCTCAGGAAACACCAGGCCCAGTGAGATTCATCTTGGGCCGAAGCCGAGCATTATTTAGGGTCTTTAACAAGAACGGTGACATTGCAGAGACTAATCTGCAGACGTGGGCAGGCGAAGAGGGTGGGAGAACACATCCTCAGCAGTGATGGTGCAGGAGGTTGGGACAGGGAGATGTTGTCCCCTCCTCCCTGGCTCCTGCCAGCATCAGGAAGGCTTTGGGGCTTTGGTCAGTGAGCACCTGCTCACTGGCAGGACCCCTCATTATGGTAAAGTTAACAGGTGAGGAGCCAGTATGCCACCATGGCTGCCTCTGTGGTCACACCAGCCGCCAGACGCACACTAAGGACCCCTGGGTGCCTCAGCTCTAGGCGGTGCCCCCAGGCCGCATGTCCAGCTTGCAGCCCTCGGCCATGTGTGCCTGAGCCCACGCTGCTGTCCTGGGGTCTGAGCCTGTGTGGGGGCAGGGGCCTGCCGGGCTGGGGCCTGGGCTTCCTGTGACTGCAGGGCCACTGGGGTCGGCTGGGCTCAGCCTGCCCAGCACAGTGTGCGGAAGCACTGCGGCAACTTAAGTGTTCAAATCATTTAGGGTGATGTAACTGGGAAGTCAGAGTTTAGCGCTGGCACGTCTGGAAGGCCTTTCTGACGTCAATCTCTTGTCTCTTTTTTTAAAATTAGGAACAAGTGACCTTGGACTTAGAGCAGGAGACAGCAGACAGCAAGTAAGTATAATTAAGAAATTCTGTTTTATACCAGGTATGGAGGCACGCCCTTGTAATCAACCCTAGAACTTTAGAGGCTGAGGCAAGAGGATCGCCCAGACCCCTCTCAAAAACAAACAACCCCCCCCCAGTAATTAAATAAATAAATGCTATATTTTCAATTCTTTTATCATCACCGTCTGTTTATGGTCAGATGTAGAATCTGTCGGTAATGTAATAGCCTTTAAAATACATTGATTTTGTGAAGAGCAGAGTTAAAGAAAAGGATTAATAAATCATATAGGCTGCATTCACCTACTACTACAAGCAAAGCCGCCACAAAGTCTGAATGCTACAATATGAAAAGGCATAAATGGTAAGACGAAGCTCTAGTGTCATTTTATTTGAACTTTACCGCTTACGTATCTCCGTTACACGAATACAGCAGCCTAACTAACCCTACCCTGCCGCCGCAGTAGGGAGCAGCAACGCTCCGAACGGCGACATCGGGGCGTCTCTTGGAGGAGCTGAACACAAGTGAACCCTGAAACAGTGACTGCGCCCCGTTCCACGTGGTGTTGAGGAGCCGGGTCACGTGCTACCCGACCTTTAGCAACCTAGGCAGAAGCGTTTGCTGCTGACCAGAGACCCCGAGGGCCTGGCACCAGGGAGCGCTCCGGGGGTGGTGGTGCTCGGGGTCTCCTGAGGTCACAGCCCAGGTCCGGAGCTCTGGCCGGTGGCCTGCCCGGATCCTGCCTTCTCAGCCTGGTCTGGGGAACACCAGACTCCGTGTGCGTGGCCTCGCTGCAGAGAAGGCGTGGAAGAGGGGGCGCCCCGGAACCGGCCCCCGAGTCCTCAGCCTGAGCCACGGCCAGGTCCCTCCGCGGGGACAGCGACCCAGGCCTCTGGCTACCGGGTTCTGTTCTCTCCAGAGTCCTAGCAGTGGTCCCGATGCCAGGCTGAGCCCCCCAGGAGGAAGAAGAATGAGAACTTGGGACAGAAAACGGATAGGTGTGCACAGGTGCAGTATCTCCCGTGACAGTGGGGCCAGCGGAAGATTAGAGGGCGGTGGCCCTGCAGCGCCTGGGAACCCTGGGGTGATGCAGAGTGCACGAGCTTATGCTAAGAAAGACTTTGCTCTGGAGCTTTCTTTTTCATCTTAGGAGTCTTAGGTTTTAGTCTTGGTGGGAGAGGATGGCCCATCCCAAGGGTTCATGGAAGTCACAACAGGGTGACCCCAGAACCCCACACCTCCATTTATCCCTTCCTTAGGCAAGGGTGCAAAATTAGTCATTGTGAGCTCGTGGTCTCCAAAAACATTATCCAACATTTTTTAAAACTATATTTTGTTTTTCTCTACATAAAATAGTCTTTAATATGTGATTTTTTGTCTCGTTCTTGTTATATTTCTCATACCTCAAAGAGTTCCTAGCGTGACCAATACCTCCTAAAAGTAAAAATGAGCTGAAAAATACCAGGGTCAACACTGTGTGGGGTGAACTTTGAAGTTGTTTTATGAGTATACAAAGTGTCTCAAGTCTTTCAAATCTAAATAAATATATAACATTCACAGTAGCCTTTCAAATCCCCAGTTTCGGTCCCCACCCTCACTGACCACCCTGCAAGATGCTCTGCAGGCAGTGCTCCCCAGGTCTTCTCCTGGGGCAGCTCCCTTCTGAGACTGAGTGGGCTGCAGTGCAGGCGAGTACAAAAAAGTCAGAGCCCTGGAAAAAACAAACCTGCAGAGGCCAGGGGGTGGAGAAAGATGGGTGAAAAGGGTGACCTTGTTCTCAGACATGAAAAAGTTCTGTTGTGTTACTATGCAGTGAGGTAATTACAGGTAAAAACTGCATCAGTATCTTTCAAAAACCTGTAAGGAAGGGCACAACACATCTTGCCTGTAAAGATATGATAAATGTTTGAGGATATAGGCTTAACCGGATTTAAACAGCGTGCACATATATATTGAAACATTGCATGTTACCTTACTAATGTCTACAATTTTTGCTTTTATCAATTAAAAATAAATTAAAGCATAAAGATTTTTTAAGATTTAAAGAGAGAGACACAGGAGGGAGAGAGCCAATGCAACGAATGATACCAGAAAAGCTGATGTGTGCCGCATCTCAGAATTCACAAAGCATTCTAAGTCTCATAACAATCCTGTGACTATGAACCACAGTTACTTCCAATTGGAGTCAGAGCAGGTGCCCCAGGCCGACGGGAATGGAGGAGACTAGTCCTGGTGGCTAAGCTTACCAAATATTACAGTAAAAAAGGACTAGACACAAATGTGGTTTTCGAGGTTTTGGGGTCTACAGAAGCAGAAAATAAGACATTGGAAAGATAAGGAGGTCCCAGCATGCAAACAGGCAAGCAGTGTGTGTGTACCTGTTTGAGTGCATCTGAGTGTGTGTGTGTGTGTGTGTGTGTGTGTGTGACATTGAGGCAGAAAGAAGAAACTCAGCAAAGCTTCCATAAAATGAAACAGGATATGAGGCAGGAAGATGGAAAATTCTAGGTAAATTCCAGCCTAGCAAGAAAGGAGGGAAGGAGAGAAAAAGTGGAGGAGGGAGGTTTCATGGCTTTGAAGGATACACAGCATCTGCATGAAGACCAATAAGGACTTTGTCACAGTGGGGAAGCTACATTTCAGGGAACAACTGCACCTTTGAGAACTCCGCGGTCAATGTCTTCACTCCATCAGCATCAGGACTGATTTAGGATTCCACGTTGGTTAATCTAGTAAAGAAACGGCCTAATCAGGAGCCTTTCAGGATTCCACACACGTTGCCTGCACCTTGTGGAGGGTGAGGGAACAGTCTCTGGCTTTGTCCACATTTAGCTTAACTTTGTCCTTCGCCTGTGGAGCTGTCAGCCCAGTTTCCTGCTGTTTATTCTCACATCTCCGAGTCTTCCTGCATTCTAATGTGAAAACTGAATGAACTTAGACAAGCAGTAAAGGCATTTGGGTTTTCACATCTTATTACCTGAGATCATGTAGAAATTAGGACTTGTATTTTCACACCGATTCATGAAAAATGGTAACATAACTGCAAGTCTAGCTGTCTAAATACCAGACTTCATCGTCTCCTGAAGTGAAAAAAAAAATTTTTTTATCCCCTTCACTTTTCAAAAACATTGCTTTGCTGTTCAGGATTCCCCATTGTTAGATATTAAGAAAGTGAAATAAAATGTGCTGCCGGTTCAGAAAAACTCTTAAAATTCAAACTTCTTTCAATAAAAACTCTGACTCAAGGAAACAGTACACAGAACACAGAGACGTGCACCGTTACCTTAGAGGGGTAAAACCTGAGAACGTGATGAGACTGAAGGCGGACCTGGTGACATCAGTAGAGGAACCAGTAGCTCCCTCTACTTAGGGTGACTACCTTTGGGAACTAGTGGCTAGTGAGGACCTAACCCAGGCTTTAACGTGTTGAAGAATGATGGCTTCCCTTGAAACTATATCCTAACATCTCAAGGGCACCTCGGGTACAGTAGTTCTATAGAGATAGAAAACTAACTTTCCTGAAGAATCCGTGTACTTTAACAGTAATGGAACTCCTGACAAAGAAACTCAAATTAGTGCTGTGACATGTAGAACGTAGACCTTTCACCAGCTGTAAGATAATTTAGCTTAAAGGCAACTCAGCTCTATATTTGAAACATGCTATTTGTCAACGTTAACCTCCATCAGGATATCAAGTGAGCACAGAAATTCTTGCATAGAAGCCTTTAAGACTCAATTTGTTTGTCAGGGCCTCTAACCAAAAGCGTTATCGAGGTCCTTAGGAACCAAACTCAGTGCCAGTTCTCCTTCGAGAGAGTGAGTGGCTCTGAAAAGAGCCTTTGGGGGTGGAGTGCGGGGAGCACGGCAGCCGCGGGCAGGCTCACTTGGAGCTCGTGTACTTGGTGACCGCCTTGGTGCCCTCCGACACCGCGTGCTTGGCCAGCTCCCCGGGCAGCAGCAGACGCACGGCCGTCTGGATCTCCCGAGACGTGATGGTCGAGCGCTTGTTGTAGTGCGCCAGGCGCGAAGCCTCGCCCGCGATGCGCTCGAAGATGTCGTTCACGAACGAGTTCATGATGCCCATGGCCTTGGACGAGATGCCCGTGTCCGGGTGCACTTGCTTCAGCACCTTGTACACGTACACAGAGTAGCTCTCCTTGCGGCTGCGCTTGCGCTTCTTGCCGTCCTTCTTCTGCGCCTTGGTCACCGCCTTCTTCGACCCCTTCTTCGGGGCTGGAGCGGACTTGGCGGGCTCAGGCATTTTGCAAACAGGGTCAAGGACAGAACAGACTGAAGGGAGGCCGGCCGGACGGTGCCTTATGTAGCCGGTGTTATGCAAATGAGGCTCACAGACGGTCTCTGGCGATTGGCGAGTTCTTTTGTGACGTTAGTCTGCAGTCCCGCCTAGCGGGGGAAATTACTCGGGACTCACAGCCATGTTCCATTGCTGTAAACGAAAAAAAAAGTGGCCAATTGAACGGCTTCTTTTTCGCGCCCAGAAGACTCTATAAACAGACTTCCTGTATTCCAGTATGTATTGGTGGCTTAGTGCGCTGTGTAATTAATGTCTGGGCGCGGCAATCAGGGTGGCAAGGCTCGCGCCAAGACCAAGACGTGATCATCCCGCGCCGGGCTGCAGTTCCCGGTGGGGCGCGTGCACCGCCTGCTCCGCAAGGGCAACTATGCAGAGCGCGTGGGCGCCGGCGCCCCTGTTTACCTGACGGCCGAGATTCTGGAGCTGGCGGGCAACGCGGCGCGCGACAACAAGACGCGCATCATCCCGCGCCAGCTGCAGCTGGCCATCCGCAACGACGAGGCGCTCAACAAGCTGCTGGGCAAGGTGACGATCGCTCAGGGCGGCGTGCTGTCCAATAAGACCGAGAGCTACCATAAGGCCAACTGCAAACACAAAGCCATAAAGGCTCTTTTCAGAGCCAGATACCAAAGCTCTAAGTTGTGATGCATTAAAAACTGACTAAAGTGCAACGCACCCTTTTTGAAAGATCAGTTGGTGGCTCTGAAAAGAGCCTTTGTGTGTTGGTGCTACTAAGCACACCAACTTTCTACTTCTTCTTGGGCGCTGCCTTCTTGGCCTTTGTAGCCTTCGGCTTCGCAGCCTTGGAGTTGGCAGCTTTGGGTTTGGCGGCCTTGGGCTTCACAGCCTTAGGCTTTGCGGGACTTTTGGACGCTTTTTTTGGCTTGGCGGCAGGCTTAGCCTTCTTTGGGCTCTTGGCTACCTTTTTTACTCCAGCTGCTGGTTTCTTAGCTTTCTTCGGAGTCTTCTTCACCGACTTTCTGGCGGCCGCAGCCTTCTTGGGCTTCTTGGGGGCGGTTCCCGCGGACTTTTTTGGCTTGGCCGAGCCCGCCTTCTTAGGATTTGGCTCTCCAGAAGCCGCCTTCTTATTTAGTTTGAAGGAGCCCGAGGCGCCAGTGCCCTTGGTCTGCACCAGCGTGCCCTTGCTTACCAGGCTCTTCAGCCCCAGCTTGATGCGGCTGTTATTCTTCTCTACGTCGTAGCCGCCGGCCGCGAGCGCCTTCTTGAGCGCAGCCAGCGACAGCCCATTGCGTTCCTTGGAGGCAGCAACGGCCTTGGTGATGAGTTCCGACACCGACGGGCCGGTGGCCTTGCGCTTGGCCGCACCCCCGCCCGCCGCCTTCTTGGCGGTCTTCTTTTTAGCTGGGGACTTCTCCACGGGGGCCGGCGCGGCGGTCTCGGCGGGAGCGGTCTCCGACATGGCGATAAGAAAGAAAGAACTCGAACCCAGAAGCAAACTTCACAACGATGCGACCCGCGGCTCGGGCTTTATATAACGCGACCCTGGCCTGTGATTGGTGGAGCGCGCGATGCGCAGCTTGGCCGGAGTCACCCAACCTGGAACTCTAAAGTGTGCTTGTCAGTGTCCTCAACTTGGTTGAATCCTGAAAACCACACAGCGGAATTTTGTGCCTTGAGGCTCCAAACCCAAGAGGACGGTCTCCGGGTCCATGTATTTATTTGTGCTTTTTTGAGTCACGCACAACTAGTGAAAAATACTATGAAAAGCCCTTTGGATTCTTCGGAAAACTGCAGGCTGAGGGCGTCCTTCTTAGTTACATGCTGCAATAAGCTTTTTTCCAAATACTCAAGGAATATTATATAAAAGAATTTGTCCATAAATTTGAGGTTTGATTTTTGCAAGGGGAAACAATATAATTCCTTGCTTTGGGCATAAACTGTTTCTAACTGCAAATAACACAGGCACAGAGTAGTGGTGGTTGCTCATGGACTAATCTGCCTCCTAGTAGCCTTCATGTAATGATGTATTCATAGGAAAATCGGTTTTACAGCTGATGAAGATCCGCTGTCAGAATGACCCCACATTGTAGTAGAAAGCTCAGCCATGTCAGATGTTGGAATCCAGCCACCCAAATTCAAATTCAGTCTTAACGTTATGTTTTCTTGCTGCTGTGTTTTCTCTCTTTACTTCCTGAGGTAATTCATTAAAACAGGAAAGAAAACACCAAATATAATTTACTTTAGAAAAGAGTCTGAAACCTGCAGGAAATTATTCTGGAACTCCCTGGAGCTGAGATGTGCAGACTGGATGTGCTGGGTGCTCTGAGATGGCTGAGCTTTCTTTCCCTAGCTCGTGCTACCTTTCCTTCAGCATTGAGGAATGGTCTGTGACCAGCCAGGGACTGGCAGGATGGGTGTTCCTCTTTCCTAGCAACCAGGCTCGTGTTTTAGAATGAATATTGACTGTGAAGTTGGATGGAATATCAAGAGGCTGAAGGTTATAGAGGCCCAAAAGCACACAGCAATATACAACCAAGGAACTGACAATGAGGTTAGAATGGGGCGGGGGGTATGTCACATTTATCATTTTGGAGGGAAGGAGGATGATTAGTTTTTGTGCCAGTATGAATAAAGATCAAAATATTTATTTAGATCTATACTAAAGCCAACAGGAGCTGGATGTGGCTCTTTGAGAGCCTCACAGCACTTGAAAGGCTAAGGCAGGATTGCATTACACTGAGTTCAAGACCAGCCTTGACTACAGAGACACTGTCTCAAAAAGCTAGCAAACCAAAGCCAAAAGAAGAGAGCTTCTATGACAACAGAAGTTTCTTTTTCAACAAAAATACTTTTGATCACAAAAATCAATGGTCACTTCTTACCTGTGAAAAGTTGTGTAAGGAAGTTTAAAGTCACCAAAAAACTTCATCATCTCTGTGAGAGCCCCTGGAGGTTAGGAAAACTGCCAGATGCAGGCACTGGTCTGTTTTTGATGACTTCCAGCTAAGAATTGTTTTCCATTTTTAGAAGATTGCTAAAAAACAAGAATACATAACAGAACCATGTGGCTTGCACAATCTTAAATTATTTACTACCTAGCCCTTTGGGGGAGCCTTTTGGACTTCTCCACAGATATAGATGGTCATAAGGGTTTCTTTCAGAACAAAGCAAACTGAAATCCAAAGAAAGAGATATTAACGTGTTGTAACCAAGCACATACCATGCTTCTTAGTCACAAACCTTTCATCAAATTCAGAAGAAAATTTCCTGAGCCCCATGACTAAGGAGGCAGTGTGACAAGCCCTACCATTCTCTGGTCGCGCTAATTCCAGCTGTTCTCTGCAGGTTTTAGTTCATCTGTTACAGTTCATAGCTGTACAAGCAGAGGACCAGAGAGAATGAGTAAACCTCTCAAAGACCCTTGAGCTAGTCACTGGCCATTCTGGGATGTGCCCTGAAACTGCCCCCCCACCCCTGCGGCTAGGGTGGGAAACCCTAAAAGTAGTGAGTGGGGCCTGGAGGGGTCCGTCAGCTTTAAGCCTGCCCCACCTCTGCCAGGAGCTAAAAGTTTCTAAGCAATTGTTACCAAAACTTTACGCTATAGGGCAAGTTGTTTAATATAAACTTACTTGGCGTACAAAAATAGAAGGCAGGCATGGACAGCTGATCTCCCTGTGGACACGCAATTGCTCTCATCTGTCTCCTGACGTCAAGTTATTCGCCCAGAAAGGTAAAGTAAAACGATGGTTACAGACAGACGAAAGCAAACACCTGAGAACACCAAAGGTAATAGAACTGTTTTAAAGTGCTACTTGTAGTGTGCCTGTTGTGCAGGGCTTACTAGACAGCTGCCGGCCTGAAGACATCACCACTACAAGCTGTACCTGTTAAGTGCTTAAGGATGCAGTGAACGTGAAGTTGAAGTAAGAGTCGAAACACAAAAACCTGATGTAATCGAGTTCTGCTTAAACCAAAACGTTCCAACAGAAGCGCTGTCAGCAAATGTTCTGTAAAAACTGCCTATGGATTACTCACTGGTCTCAGTAACGTAAATACAACAGAATTGTGTTAAGGCCAGCTTGCACACTAGTTATCACGTTAAGGTAACGGCTCTCTTGCTGACAACGGTGGGGCTCTGAAAAGAGCCTTTTGGGGTATCACACAAGCTGTACTGTGAGCTTATGCCCGCTCTCCGCGGATGCGGCGCGCCAACTGGATGTCTTTGGGCATAATGGTGACGCGCTTTGCGTGGATGGCGCACAAGTTGGTGTCCTCGAACAGCCCTACCAGGTAAGCCTCGCAGGCCTCCTGCAGCGCCATCACCGCTGAACTCTGAAAGCGCAGATCAGTCTTGAAATCCTGCGCGATCTCGCGCACCAATCGCTGGAATGGTAGCTTGCGGATTAGCAGCTCTGTGGACTTCTGGTAGCGTCGGATCTCACGCAGTGCCACGGTGCCGGGCCGGTAGCGGTGCGGCTTCTTCACGCCGCCGGTGGCCGGTGCGCTCTTGCGGGCAGCCTTCGTAGCCAGCTGCTTACGAGGAGCCTTGCCGCCAGTGGACTTGCGAGCGGTCTGCTTCGTACGAGCCATACTTACAGCACAACGTAGAACTCAGCTCAACGTGAGAGCAGAAGCTGCGAAAGCTCGGGTATTTATAGAGCCCTGCGAGCCCTGATTGGACAGGAGACTGCCTCTCCATACTTCTCCCCACGCCATTGGTTCACGGTTCAATCCTGTAGGAAAGAGTCTCCTCTCTATATTAAAACATGCCAGAAAATGTTCTGGTTTAATAACAGGCATTACCTTCCATGTGTTACAATCGTAAGATGTTGACTCGAATATCTAAAGTGCCTTGCAAATTCTCAAAGATTTGGGATTTTGATAAAGCTCATGGAACGTCCGAGGCGGCGCAAGTGTGTCCAGTGTTTACCGTACAGAACTCACAGGATGTGCGGAGGCTCAGATCCGCAGGCACCTGAGTGACCTCTAACCTCAGTAGCCTGCCAGTCCCTGCGAGGATCGTACTACTCACTGGGGCCTTGACTACCCACCCTAGGGGTAGTTTATTCCTTTGTCTAATTTTGGGAGGGGACAGATCCAGGACTTTTCAACAGAACAATAAAACTGAGGGACAGCAGCGGCTGGCACTGTCCTGGCTACCGTTGAGACCTCCTTACGTGCACCCTGAAAAGTGAAACCGGCCATATCAAGCTCAAAGCTGTTGTGTGACCCTGGCGGCCCTGGCCGCAGAAAGTGGAGCGCGGGTCTGCTTAGTGACCGCCAATACTTTCTTGTGCTACAAGTGAGGGAGGCACCTGGAGCAGCCCTTGCGAAAAGCCTTCCAGTGGCAGCACCACAGGAAAAAGAATCCAAAGAACTGGAAAGTGTGGAGGAAAACGTCTTACATATCTCGCACTCGGACTTGATGGAGAACTGCTCGCCCCCGGGCAACCGCCCAACTAACAATCAAAGGGCGCCCTCCCACGTTTTGAGGGAAAGTGGGGAAGGTGGTGCTAAACTCCTACCTCTGTCCCCTCTGCCACAGGGTGCTCTTTCGCTCGGACCTGGGTGTCCATGACTCCCAGCCCCGAGTCCCGGAGGCCGCCCGAGTCCCTGTCCTGCTCCGGGCGCGCGCCGCGACTTGGGATCCTGCGCGAGGTGCTGGTTGCTCGCGTTTCACTTGGCCTCCGGGTGCAGTGTAGCTTTCCCAGTTTTTCTCCAATTTGATTGTACCTGTTTCTTACCCTGTACATCGTCTCCTTCCCTCACTCACCACATTTGTGGGCAGAAGCGACTTCTAATATTTTCTTCACTCTGCTTAGCAACACTTCAGGCAGCCGAGCGAGGCAGGCCTTTCAAAACCCTCCGTCTCCATCGAGCGGTGGAAACCTCTCCGCTTTCTCCTGTCCCGCTTCTGCCCTGAAGGGAATGGGCTGCACGCAGGAAACGCTCCCCTCCCCCAGAGGTAAAGTAAAACAGCTCCGTGCCACAGAGTTTATTCTGGGAGTTATCTAGAGAAGGTACCGCTCAGGCGGAGCTAACCCCGGCCGCCGCAGTTGGTCCCTCTCCTCGGGCCCGGCCAGTCTTCTCTTCCTCCTCACGATCCGCGCAGTTTTTTCAGCTCACTCTCTTCTCTCGCCCTGAAGGTCAGAAACACCTTCTCATGCTCCTGGTACTTTGATTACTGCTGACACAAATAACTCGGACCTGAGGAGTCAGCCGCCCTGAGTGCATCGCAAGCCCTTGTTCCCGGGATCAGCCTCTTTCTCACGGAGCTTCTAGGCTGCCTCCTGTAAAAGGGCGTCCAGGCGCTTAACTGCAAGGTGCTAGTCCCGCGTGGGCTGGCGGGACCCTCTTGACAATCCTCTCCCACGCAGCGAGCGCTAAGAGCCCAGAGGCCAGTCTGCCTTACTAAGTAGCTCCTGTGTTATTTTTTAAGTGAAAATCTTAAGATGAACTCTAGACACTGAGAAACCCTGGGAGCCCCCTTCTTGGCACAGAAAACCAGGGGAAAGGAGCCTCTTCCCCCAGGGTTTAGAGTTAGTGGCTGGGCCTACAAATCAAACTCGTTAACAGTGGAGAAATCTCCTTAAATATACACAGGGGAAGCCTTGCATAAAAGAGGTGAACCCCAGAGTAGCAAGGACTGAGTTTTCCTGGGAAAGTACACAGAACTGCCAGCCCAGGTGGTGAGAATGCCAGTGTCCTTCCCTTCTGGTGTGGTGGTGAAGGACAGCTTTATGGCTGAAATTGTCCTTTATAAAGATGGTTGGTTTTGTTTGTTTGTTTGTTTACAATTTTCTGTCTGCTCTTTCTCAAAAGAGTTCTTATAACCCCCGTAACTTATTTTGGTGTGGAATATTTTACTCTCCTGTATAATGAACTCTGGAGGATCTCTTGATGAGTTGACCAAGGTTACCCTTGAGACTGTCTATACTGTTCTGTTTCTAAATGCAGTGACCCAAACTAAAGCACTTTGGCTGAGTAAATGAAAGGAAAATGTGTCGCTCGCTAGTGTGGGTCTTTGCTCTTAGTGATAATGGAAGTTAAAACTAACGCACACATTTGCAGGAAAAACCTTTAATTACTAATGGTCGACAGGATCGGAGCAAAATGTACCTCCTTGTACTTGAGAACTTGGAGATCATAAAGGGCCAGAAGGAACCGGAGCTCTTCATGGCTCTCGAATGGTCAGATCACCTAGAGATGCTGCAGTTTTGTGTGCAGCCTACAAGGTGAAGAGTTCACAGACTCACTGCTCAGTGGCACTGTGACCTCAAAAAACAACAGGCAAATAACCCATTCCTGGCAATCTCTCGCTCTCAAAAATAAGAGAAAGCGAGAGAGAATGGTTTTGATATAGAGGAATGAAACTACCAACCTACTACATTTCCAGTACAAGTTTGTGTTCTCTAAAATCAAAGAATGAGTTTTAGGAGCAACATTCCCACATTCCCAGCCTTTCAAAAATGTTTTAAAAATTCTGAGATAGGGTCTGGTTATGTCACTAGATTACCCACACTGTAATTTGTGATTCTCCTGCTTCAGCCTTCTAGAATGTTGGAATTACAGTCTTGTACCATCAAATCATGGTTGTTTGTTAGCAAAAAAGAAAAGAAAAAAAGCTTTTTAAGTACCTTGCTGCCTCAGAGGAAGACACAAATAATGCTTTTAATCTTTAATAGACTAAGGGCCCAGTACTCTGCTGTCTTCGGTCTCTGATTTCCTCTCAAAACAAGTCATAGAAACCAGAATTCAGTCGGGATTGGGAGAGTAAGGCTGGAAGATGAAAGTTTGAGCCCAATTTAGGCCATTCAATGACTGTGAGAAACTTGATCTCAAAATTTTTTTTAAAAAAATTAAAAAGGGCTGTGGCTGCAGCCCAGGTAAAGGCCCTGAACTCAGTCCCCAGTGTGCCTGTGACCGGGGTGGGGTTGGGGTCAGAATTCCTGTTGCTTAAGGCAGGGAGAAGCTGAAATTAAGCCTGGGAAGCTCTCTACTTTCTCCTCTGGGTCTGAGTTTGGGGCCTTGTCCTGCCCCACCCCACCCCAGGCCAGAGAACCCTGGCCTATGGGCTGCACTGGGATTGATTTCCCTCTGTGTGTTTCTCTCAAGCTGTGTGCCATGTCCAGGCACTGTGTACACAGTGGTCCATTCATCATCAAATCCAAGCCCTTGTTTGTTTGTTTGTTTGTTGTCCTTTTGACACCGGGTCTCACTATGCGGTTCAGGCTGGCCTCGAGCTCACTTTGTAGCCCAGGCTGGTCTCAAACTTGCAACAATCTTGCTGCCTCCGCCTCCCAAGTCCTGGGATTACAGGCCTGTGCCATTGTGCCCGGCAGAATCAAAGTAATTTATGCTTAGTTTTTAGCCTGCAGTTTTCCCCTGGTGCTTAGGTCTCCACTTCTCAAAGCTCTGTGTCACACAAGGGTAAATCTCTTGTGAATTCTTCTTCTTCTTCTTCTTCTTCTTCTTCTTCTTCTTCTTCTTCTTCTTCTTCTTCTTCTTCTTCTTTTTCTTCTCCTCCTCCTCCTCCTCCTCCTCCTCCTCCTCCTCCTCCTCCTCCTCCTTCTTCTTCTTCTTCTTCTTCTCCTTCTTCTTCTTTTTGGTTTTTTGAGTCTCACTATGCAGTTCAGACTGGCTTTGAACTCACTGTAGCCCAGGCTGGCCTTGAATTTGCAGCTATCCTCCTACCTCAGCCTCCCAAATCCTGGGATTATAGGCATGTGCCTTCATGCCTGGCCACTGTTTCTCTTCTTGACCTTAGTGGATCACATTTTCCATCACCACAATGTGGGTTTGCTTGTTTTTTTGAGATCTAAGCATTTTCAAGGATGTCCAAGCAGATTCTTTGCTGATTCTCCCCCACCTAGCATTATGAAGGAAACAAAGTGATTGATTCTAAAGATCTCCTATATGGCATTTGAAAATCTCGTTTATTTACATTAAATACTTTCAATACTTTCCTTTTTGCTTTTCTCAAAAAATACTAATTGACATGCATTGCCCAATAAATCATAGTTGATTAACTGGGACAAATAATTGTATTTTTCTCATATTACGAGAGAGGTATTTTCCAGAGAGATGGTGGTGGAATATCGGTTTCCATGTGAGTTACTCAGATAAATAAATGAGGTACCCTTGCCTTTATAATGCTCTGTGAGCTGTTTGCTGATCCACAGTTAGCTCTGTAACAATTTCCCAATCTTTTTCTTTTTTTGTGGTACCAAAGATTACACCAGGCACCTTCTCAGCGAGATATATTCCCAGACCTTTTGTGTGGTATTTTTTGTTTGTAAAGTTTCAGACTGGCCTCTATCTGAGGCAGTTCTTCAACTTCAATCTCCTGAGTGCTGAGATTATAGGCTTGTGCCACCACACCCAGCTCACAGCCTCTTAATCTTTTATTTTGAGACAAATTCTGTCTAAATCACTAAATTGTTATCCAACCCAGGCCCGGTGGCAAACACCTATAATCCCAGCACTCAGAAGGCTGAGTTAGGAGGATCACTGTGAGCTCAAGGTTGTTTTGGGCTACAGAGTAGAGATTTTATTTCAAGCAAATAAATAAATGACTGGTTTGGGTTCAAACTTTTAATCATCCTGCCTCA